GTTGCTTCTTTTTGTTTATGTGTCAAAACCTTGCTGACTAGTGTATTTAGCTCTGTACTGTATGTTTTTCTTTAGCTTCAAATTGATACGGGATCTACAGGGGAGAGTTTTGACTTATTTGTCTATTAAATATTATTTAATTATTTTGTTTTATACATTCTTATATTTAATTTAATTTATTTTTAATTAGTTTAATTGTTTTTTTGCATGTTTAATATAATTTATTTTATTTAGTTTTATTTATTTTTAAATTTTTAAAAATTTTTAAATACTTTTACATGTTTAATTAAATTAATTTAATTGTTTTTTATCATTTTGTATTAGAAAAACTCTTTTTGACGATTACCAAAACCAAATTTGGAGCTAAAGAACTTCCAAGACTCGGTCACAATTTCATTAAGACAACAATAAAACTTGCCTTAAGCAAAAAGGCAAAACACAAAAAAAGAACTGGAGTCTTTTAGAACAACTTTGCACACTACACCCTTTAAAATTCACTACTGAGAAAATTTTATACTTTCGACAAAAAATTTTAAATTTTTTAGAAATTTTGAGGAATTGCTATTACCCCTGTATTGCAGATCGCATTCAAACAAAACAAACAAACATGTCCATTTTAAAAGTATAAACAAACACGTCTATTTTAGGAGTATAAACAAACAAATCAATTTAGTAGACAAACAACCAACAAAACAAACAACTACGTGTATTTACAAACAACAAACAGTACACATAAAATCCAAACACAGCTAAACAAACAACACGTGCAAAATGCTAGAACTTATTAATTACAAAAACTTCTTTACTAAGTCAGAATTAGAAAGAGTAGAAATACAAAAAGAGCAAAATTCATTTATTCTAGAGGCAGATAGAAAAGTTGCAGAATATTTAGAAACTAATGAAATTATCTAATCGCAATTGTCCACAACATTTCACATTTTTATGACTATGCTCAGCACAAGATAGTTAGAGATCAAAACATAACTGAAGAGGAAAAGATTCTTATAGATATCACTAATAACACCAAAATGCAGGTTGATAACATAGATAATACTGATTCACAAAACAGTAGTATTAAAATTAAATTTGAGCCAATTCTTATGAAAATCTTACCTTCATATTTTACTAAAAGTTTTGGAGAAAAAAACAACAATGTGACTTCAGAAGAGAAAAAACTATCAGATTGTTGCAAGAAGCAGAATATAGATCAAATTGATAAGAACAAAATTAAATTCAAAATTGAATCATGCCCTATAGAAGTAACTCCAACGGTCCAAGTTGTTGCAACATCTACTAATTTAAATAATATAGAAATAGAATCTCAAGAAAATCCACACAAACGCAACTTCACAGTACAGGATTTAAACCCGTATATTACAGAGAATAGTTTGGAACTAGTTAAAGATATTTTAGTTCAAAAAGAATATAGAGCACTTGACTATAGTTTAAATGAACTTATTAGAGAAAAATCTTAAACAAATATAAAAGCAACAACACATGCAAGTACTAAAAAATTCAAACAACATGAGGATATATTTAATTCGGTTTGGGCTCCAAAAAGCAAGATATTTTACTACAAACAACCACAAAACCTGGTTTATTTTTTTACAATCTGGGATTTACCCAAGAAGACCAGTGCATCAACTATCAAAACATATCTTAGTTTCTTTGGCACAGCTTTCGTTCTCACATGGCAACAAAACTTCAGAACTAAGGTGGCATATATTAAAATCTTGTCATGCTCTGAACAAAGAACAAAGTTATTAAAAAAAAGTTGGTTAGTACATTTAGATCAAGGAAAAACATATCGCACAACACCTGGAAAGTTTGACATCATCGAATTAGAAAAAAGAAATAACCATAAATGTATAATTTTAAATATACCGACAACTGTATACGATAGTCTTCTTTTACACCAACTCAAAAAATTCAAGGTTCAAGCAGTACACATATTAAAAAATCAGAATGGTAATCCAAGAAAAAGAGCTCATCTTTATTTTAAATCAAAAGAAGATCTCATATCAGCCCAAAGATACAATATCTATTACTTTAACACTAAGCTTGAATGGCATCTAACTTCAAAAGACCTAACTAGAAAGTATGCTCTCAACACATTCTATTACAAGAGAAAAGTAAAAAATACGAACAAAGGCAAAAGATCATTGAATGAAAATGAAATATTAAGAAAAAAAGAATCAAGCCAAACGTACATTTCTCAAATCAAGCAGTAAAACCAGAAACTCTATTTATACTTCTTCTTCTAAAAATAAGGAAAACAGTGGAGATAATAGTAATCTCAGATCCCGAAGCAATACTCACAAGCTCCTTAGAAATATTGAAAACGAATATGCGACTGGATCAAATAGAGTTAAATTAGATGAGATAAAAGAAAATGGTAAAAAACAAATACCTCAAGATTTCAGACTAGCTCGAGATGAAAATATACATGAAAAGACCAAGCTAAGAAATAGTAGCTCTAGCAACCCAAGACAAATTTCTACATTTGTATCTGATATGCATAATAGTATTCTAGAGCAAATCTTAAACAGATTACAGAAAATAAAAGAAAAACAAAGGGCTTTAGTCCCCAACCGTTTCTAAGAGTGCCCCAGTTGTATCAACAGAAACAAACGAGCAAATTGGCTCGGCAGGGCAAACTCCACTTGAGATAATCTATAATGCCCTAGATTTCAATCTAAATTTAGCATGTCACAATATTAATGGTCTTAAATCAAACAATTAAAAACTTTTACATTTAATAGACTGGGCTAAAGAGAAAGATATAGATGTTTTAGAAATCACAGAAACAAATGTAGCAGAAAAGGAAGGCCAATATATACTCTCCCAGAGAGTTCATTCAAAGACTATTGGTCAAATGCAAATGTTGATAAGAAAAAAGGCTCTGGAATAGGAGTTTTAATTAGTGGGAAAATTCAAAAAAGTTTAGCAAGTCTTAGAAAACATAACGAATACTTACTAGAATTGTTTCTAATCATAAACCACCTAAAAATTAATATTCTTGTTGTGTATCTTCTACCTAACGATAAAAAGCAAATTAAAAGAATCCAACAACATGTTATAAATGCATATATTAACAGGCCTAGAAACTCAGAAATAATAATTATGGGAGATTTTAATCATATAACAACACCAGAACTCGACAAGCAAAGCCACAGTAGTACATGTATACACAAAAATCTCCTGTTGCATATTTGAATGATCAATCAGAATTTCATAGACTCTTTCCGACACTTAAATCCTGTTACACAAGCCTATACATGGTCTAACAGTAGTACAGCTACACGTATTGATCAGATCTGGATTTTAGAAGGCTTAGCAAAATCATTATATAAGGCAGAAATATGAGATATAGATCTAATTACAGAAAGCGATCACAATACAATACTAGTAAACTTAAAATACAATAACATAATGTTAGATCAAGCCCAAAGTGTCAATAAAGAAAAAAGCTCTCACATAAAGTCTCTTTATGATAAAGCCTCACCTGAAAATTAGGAAGACTACAGAACTTTACTACAATCTTTTCTCAAAAAACGTACAGCCTCGTTAAATATACTGGAGAAAAACACAAATGAAATATCACAACAAGACTTAAACTGTATCTGGTCTTCGATTGAAACAAGGATGGGAAAACTACAGAACTTCACTACAATCTTTTCTCAAAAAACATACAGCCTCGTTAAATATACTAGAGAAAAACACAAATGAAATATCACAACAAGACTTAGACTGTATCTGGTCTTCGATTGAAACAAGGATTTTATATGCAGCTAAACAAAATATCTTTTAAAAAAATAGACCTTCCATCAAATAATAAATGTTCATCAAAAAAGAAACAAACAAAATCACCTTTACACGAAGATACAGTTAATATAAGCAAAATATGTCAAGAAATTAAAAGACTAGCAAGAGGAAATGAAGATCAAATAGTGAAGTCCATAATAACTGAAAAAAGAATACAAGAAATAAAATCTCTTCTATACAAGATTAGCACCAGACATGGTTTCAACATAGTCCTTGATGAAACTATGACGTTAGAAGAATGGGTGCAGGACATCAAGGGTTGGCTATATATCTTCAACAAAAAATGGGCAGCAGAAATAGAAAAACAAAAAATGAAAGAATCAAGGAATTTACAGATCAGTGCTGTCTTATAATCCAAGATGAGCAGAGTAAAATGCTCAAAAATATACTGGACAAACCCTTCTCGAAGGCTAAAATAGATAGAATTTTAGAGGAGGTTGAAAATGAGTTCCAATTACACACAAACCCTAAAGATGTCCTATCAAAAACTTATGCTTTCTTTCAAGACCAGTACAACAAAAGCAAACCAAATATAACTTCTCTAACTCCTGAGTGGAAGGAAATCTACAAACCACAAGCAGAAATTAACGCTCTCTGGTATACAAATTTAGAAGAAGATATCTCAGAAGAAGAATGGTACAAGATGCTTAAAGAGCTCAAAAACAATACTGCACCAGGCATAACAGGGATTGGATACATGTTTATCAAACAAGCAAATGGTTTTACACAAGATCTTTTTAGAAAATTCAACGCAATTTGTTTTAAAACTGAAAAAATACCAAGTAAATAGAAGTATAGCCAAATTTACTCAATCCCAAAGTTGACGGAGTGGGACTTTACCTTAAACACCCTTAGACCAATTGCGTTACTAGAAACTTTTCGTAAATGTGTAACAAAGATCTTAGCAACATGGCTTTCAGAAATATTAACAAGAAACTCAATTCTTAAAGGTCCAAATTATGCAGGCCTGCCTGGTAACTCCATATTGAAACCTATTTTTATTTTAAATAGTATTATAGAGGATGCAAAAAAACAGGGAAAAGAACTTTGGCTTCTGTTTCAAGATATGCAAAAAGCATTTGATTTAGTCCCTCTTCAAATACTCAAGCTTGCAATGGAAAGAATTAAAATTCCAAGTACATCGACGAATTTTATTATAAACTTATTTAAAGATCGGAGAACACAAATTTTAATAGCAATAGGCCCCACAGAATATATCACAGCATCAGAGCAGAGAGAAGTTCTGTCTCCGCTCGTTTGGCGCATATTTTATGACCCACTAATACGTAGGATTCAAAGCAACAATAGTCTGGACTATACAATACTTCTCAAAGAACCACTAGATCTGCGTAAGAATTTATACAAAGAAACAAAGTTTCGCCAAACAGCTTTAGCATACGCAGACGACACAACTTGGATAGTTAGTAACAAGTTACAGTTAAAAGAAACACTCAAAATTGCAGAAAAATTCTACCTAATCAATGACATTCGTGTAACCTGAAAAAGTCAAAGTTGATAGTATTCAACTCGACAAAAAGTGTAAACAATCAGAATATAATACTAGCAAATGAAAAAGTAGTAGTAGAAAAAAGCAAGTCGCTTACAAGATTTTTGGGTATTTGGATAAG